TTTCAACGTCTCAAGTAAAGAGTTTGAGAACCTTCTTTTCAACGTCTCAAGTAAAGAGTTTGAGAACCTTCTTTTCAACGTCTCAAGTAAAGAGTTTGAGAACCTTCTTTTCAACGTCTCAAGTAAAGAGTTTGAGAACCTACTTTTCAACGTCTCAAGTAAAGAGTTTGAGAACCTTCTTTTCAACGTCTCAAGTAAAGAGTTTGAGAACCTTCTTTTCAACGTCTCAAGTAAAGAGTTTGACACATGGGCCACACATTAGCCACACATGGGCTAACATGGGCCACAGATTGGCCACCCATGGGCCACGCATGGGCCACACATGGGCCACATATAAGTCACAAATCGGCCACACATGGGCCACACATTGGCCACACATTGGCCACACATTGGCACACATGGGCCACACATTGCCCACACATTGGCCACACATGGCCCACACATTGGCCACACATTGGCCACACATTGGCCACACATGGGCCAACATGGGCGAAACATGGACCACACATGGGCCACCAATTGGCCACAAATGGGCCACACATTGGCCACACATGGGCCAACATGAGCCACATATTGGCTTTTACAGTCCACAGAGCAGATCTCTTCATTTCTACAAGTATTTCACATAGTATTCCTCATTGTTCTTTCTTTTTAACATATAAATCTTGTTTGTAGTTTCACAAAACAAACCAATTCATATCATATCACATCTAACTTGGCTCTTAATACAACATGAATACTCTGCAAAAGCCCTATTGTTTTAAATACCAAATAACACTGATCTTTAGATAGGAGATCTAACAACCTAGGATCTTTAAATGGCACAACTAACATGCTTTGATCTTTAGATAACAGATCTAACAACCTCGGATCTTTAAATGACAAAACTAACAAGCTTTGATCTTTAGATAGCAGATCTAACAACCTAGGATCTTTAAATGGCAAAACTAACATGCTTTGATCTTTAGATAGCAGATCTAACAACCTCGGATCTGTAAATGACAAAACTAACAAGCTTTGATCTTTAGATATCAGATCTAACAACCTCGGATCTTTAAATGACAAAACTAACAAGCTTTGATCTTTAGATAACAGATCTAACAACCTCGGATCTTTAAATGACAAAACTAACATGCTTTGATCTTTAGATAACAGATCTAACAACCTTGGATATATAGACAATCTTTCCTAATTCTCAGACATGTTTTCCCAGCCTCGTTTTCAACTTGTTACATATTTACACTTTCCAGAAAAGGAAGATGCTGAGATCTCGCTACATTACTGTACTGTGGGAACTCATGACGTGATAACCACATTCTACTGGTCTCAGCAACTGTCCTTCTTGGTTTGTCTGGAGCCGCGCTAATCGAATCTAATCTAATAACTTCGTCCTGAATAATGACATTAGCCCCCATACCTCCATTGGTATAGTGGTCCTCAAGAAACAACAAGAAACTTATTTATAAATTCAGAATGAGTATATCTAGTAAGAGCTGTTTTTGTTTAGTTTGAGAGTTATCTCTATTTCGTTAGCATCAGGATGCTGTAGACTTAGCGTAGACTAGTGTAGAAAATTGTTCACTAGTGTAGACTAGTGCTGACTAGTGTACACCAGCGTTTACAAATGTAGACTGGTGAAGACTCTAAATCAGTGGTTCTCAAGCTTTTTTTTTTGGCCAATGCCCCCTTGACACCATAAACACATCTCTAGCGCCCCCCCACCTATATCTACCTAGCATTTAACTGGGTACACTGTTGGAGATGGCCGATTTGTTTCCCTGCACCTTGTGGCTGGGTACACTGTTGGAGTTGGCCGATTTGTTTCCCTGCACCTTGTGGCTGGGTACACTGTTGGAGATGGCCGATTTGTTTCCCTGCACCTTGTGACTGGGTAAACTGTTGGAGATGGCCGATTTGTTTCCCTGCACCTTGTGACTGGGTACACTGTTGGAGATGGCCGATTTGTTTCCCTGCACCTTGTGGCTGGGTACACTGTTGGAGATGGCCGATTTGTTTCCCTGCACCTTGTGGCTGGGTACACTGTTGGAGATGGCCGATTTGTTTCCCTGCACCTTGTGGCTGGGTCCACTGTTGGAGATGGCCGATTTGTTTCCCTGCACCTTGTGGTCTGTTGTCTTACGGCGTGGGTGGTTCAGTTCTTTTTTTTCCTTCTTTCAAATTATTGTTTACTTCCTCTTCAAGAGTGTTTCCCTGGCCAGCTTTACGGCTCTAATTCAGTGGTCCCTTCCCTAAATGTGGATACACGCTGCTATAAATGTGGATACTCCCTGTCCTAAATGGGGATGCTCGCTGCTGTAAATGTGGATTTCCCTTCCCTAAATGTGGATACACGCTGCTATAAATGTGGATACTCCCTGCCCTAAATGGGGATGCTCGCTGCTGTAAATGTGGATTGTCCCTGCCCTAAATGTGGATACACTCTGCTATTAATGTGGATACTCCCTGCCCTAAATGGGGATGCTCGCTGCTGTAAATGTGGATTTCCCTTCCCTAAATGTGGATACACGCTGCTATAAATGTGGATACTCCCTGCCCTAAATGGGGATGCTCGCTGCTGTAAATGTGGATTGTTCCTCCCCTAAATGTGGATACACTCTGCTATTAATGTGGATACTCCCTGCCCTAAATGGGGATGCTCGCTGCTGTAAATGTGGATTTCCCTTCCCTAAATGTGGATATACGCTGCTATAAATGTGGATACTCCCTGCCCTAAATGTGGATACACGCTGCTATAATGGGGATGCTCGCTGCTGTAAATGTGGATTGTCCCTGCCCTAAATGTGGATACTCGCTGCTCAAAATGTGGATACTTCACGCCATAAATGTGGATACTTCCTGTCATAAATTTGGGTACTCGCTGCTGTAAATCTGGATACTCCCTGCCATAAATTTGACCAGGTCTTCGTGATAAGGAACCCATTGATTTACCAACAGGCAGTCAAGATGAAATGTACGTCTTCGCTGCTACTCATATAATCCATTACCCAATGAAGATAAACAGAACACTACGGGAGACTGAACACATGGAAAATATAGTTTTTTTAAAGTTTTTACTATCTCAATATTATTATTTTTTTTACCTGGGATGGGGTGGGGTCGGTCCAGGTTACGTCAACAAGGAAACGGACATTTATCCCGAAATTTGACCCTTAAAACCGGACTAAGAAATGGAAACGCTGGCTTGAATCAACGAGATGCTATAAAATATTCACTACTGCTTGAACTGATTACTAGAGAAAGATGGAGATTTAGGTCAGGTCGATAAGGGACCGTCCATAAAGCACGTCACGCTCTTTTTGGGAAATAAATATGTTTACCCCCCCCCTCTTCCGCTGTCACAATCTGCGAAACTCTAACCCCCCCCCACCACCCCCATGAACCCCTAAAGTACGTCACAATTTTAATTTTGAAAACAGTTGTTTAAAAAATTATCAGGCTAATGACCTAAAGCACATTTCACTCTAAAACTATTAAATGTATGAAGAGGAAATCTCCTGTCAGAATACATCTATCACAAAAGGACGTTTAACATCACTGTCAGAATACATCTATCACAAAAGGACGTTTAACATCACTGTCAGAATACATCCATCACAACAGGACCTACCCCTTTACCAGCCATCGACCCGTCTTCCACCTAACAATTCATTTCCACCCACAAAAACTATCTTCCATCCATCAACTCACCCTTCATCCACCAACCCATCTTCAACCCACTAACTCAGGGTTGTCAAACTCAATCGCTCGGCGGGCCAAATCTCAAATCACATGAAAGGTTTACGGGCCGAACAGGCTATACATTCAATTAGCGGGAAATTAATCTTTTGAAATAACATTGATATAAATGAAAACGGGAAAAGTTTAAATAACAAAAAATCATTGGCGTACCCATTTTCGTTCTTATGCCAATTTGTCAGAGCTGGATGTGTGGCGCATTTTCATGGCTACGAAAACAAGTAACAACGTTCTGTGATATTGAGATTCTCAAGATGAACTGCAAGTGTTCATCGGTGAGACGACTCCTGTGTGGTGTTTTGTTAATCTTCATCACAGAAAACAGCTGCTCACACATAATAAATGTGCTACCCAACATGCTCAAGGTTAGAGCAACATGTAGACCAAGCTGGGGCTTCTCGTCAGGAATGAAACGAGTGAACTGTGCAGGCCCAACTGTGACGTACCTTGCCTGTAGTGTGCCATTAAACTGCAGCTTTATTAGCTCCATCTGCAAATTTACAGGTGCAGTTTCCACGTCTATGACAAATGGGTTACGAAACAGCTCGAAATTACATTCCTGTGCTTAAAGACACTAAAGCGCTGTGCAAATTCGGCGCGAAATAAGTTATGCTTTTCAGCAAAGTGTGCATTGGGAAACACTACTTGGATATAACTTTACGCCGGTCAAGACCTCTCGGGCCTGATATAATTGTACAGTGACCGGATGAGGCCCGCGGACCTTGAGTTTTACACATGTGCACTAACTGATCTGTTAAATACAGTAACGATTTCCAGCTAAATTCTCAACAAATGGATGGATTGTCTGACTGAATAATTGAATGTATGCAGTAACATATTGATCGATTGTCTAAATGATTGAATGTTTTTATTAACATAAGTATGGATTTTCTGAATGATTGAAAAATTCTGAAGTAACAAGGGTGGATTGTCTATATGATTGAATGTATGTAATAACATGAATGGGTTGTCTCAATGGTTGAATGTATATAGTAAGATATGAATGAATTGTCTCAATGATTGAATGCATGAAGTAACATATGGATTTATTGTGTATAAAAGATCTAATGACTGGATATAACACTTACTATTAGTATTTGATGAATGGACAGACTGGACAATATATTAGTATTAGAAGACTTATCATCAAACTCTGACGTCATACGCCTGTTGTCGTTGGTTGTACTTTAACGGGCCATTTAGCTGTGTCAAAATTATGCTGTGTCTGTACCCAAATATTAAGAATGTCCCAAATTTTCTCCCACAGGGCCTGTGGGGTACATCATCTCCAACGGGGAGGCAACCATCGTTTCACAGCGTTCGAGGCGCTGTGGTTTGTGGTGGTGACCTTCTCTACTGTCGGCTTTGGTGACGTATATCCGGACATCTGGCCAAGTCAACTCTTCATGCTCTTCATGATCTGCTTCGCCCTTATCATACTTCCAACTCAGGTGGGTCAATTAATGGGTCAATTATTGGGTCTTATTTGTGGGCCAAATAGTGGGTCAATTAGTGGGTAAAATAGTGAGGTGGGTCCATTTAAGTCTTCTTTAGCTCAAGTGGGACACTGCATATTATCGTGGTCTTGTTACGAAATAATATTATAATTTACTAGCTATTACCCGTCTAAAAAAATTCCTAAAGTGAATATGTTAGATTTCAGCTAATGAAACTCACAATTGTAAAAGAACTATGATCTCATTCTAGATAACCCAGTCCAATATGGCGGATAGTGTCATTAATTCAACAAATGTGTATTTCGGCTATACTAAACTCGTATCAGGGAAGCAACTGCATATTCCATTTAGACATGACATACAGACATACTGCATATTGCATATAGACATACAAACGGAATTAATTCATTAGAATTACAATATTAAGAAAATATTTCCTTCCTTGACAAACTATCTTTTGACAAATCACTGTGAGGAAAAAGTGCCTGGTAGGATGTTCTGGGAAAAAGTGCTGAGTAGGGTAGTGTGGGAAGAAGTGCTGGGTAGGGTAGTGTGGGAATAAGTGTTGGGTAGGATGTGGTGGGGAAAAGTGCTGGGTAGGATGTTGTGGTGAGGACCGTTGGGTAGGACACTGGTGAGAAGTACTGGGGAAGATATTGTTGTGGGAAGTGCTGGGTAGGATGTTGTGGGAGAGAAGTGCTGGGTAGCCTAGGGTGTCAATCAACTTTGGTTTTTTTACAGGTGATTTTATTTTCTTAACATTTGAGCTTTATCATTGCTGAACTTTGAAGCAACGACCAGCTCTTATGTTACTATGTTGTTAAGCTACTATGTCGTTATGCTACTATGTCGTTAGGCTACTATGTTGTTATGCTACTATGTTGTTATGCTACTATGTCGTTATGCTACTAAGTCGTTATTCTACTATGTTGTTATGCTACTATGTCGTTATGCTACTATGTTGTTAGGCTACTATGTTACCTCACTGTTAAGTTACTTTGTTATTATATAGCTTGATAATGAGAGTGAATTTAATTTCATTGTTTTCAGTCAAAATTACTTCATTTCTCTCACCCAATCAACGGGCTCGTTATTTAAAAGCAATATTTTATAAACGAAGTGGCTATTCGTACCCGGATACCAGAGGTGAGAGGTTGGGATTAAAAAAATATTAAAAATTTTATTGTTGGGTTTGTAAGACAACATGAGGCATCAAATGAAAGATAATTGAATGGACTATATGTTTGTAAACTTATTTCTTCAGTTTAACTAAAATAAACTACCACAAATGACATCCGAATAGCACTGAGTCAAAATGGACCCAGACACGCAGCGCCGCCATTCGCACACGATTACCATTCTGTCTTACAAACCCAATAATAATATTTTAAATAGTTTATTTAATCCCAACTTCTCACTTCTGGTACCCGGGTACGAATAGTCGCAGCCTTTTATAAAACAGTGAATACTAACAAAAAACTTGCCCCCCCCCCCCCCACCCCAATTTACTTTTTTTTTAAAAATTAAAAAAAAGGACATTCTATAAATTTGTTTTCTCTGTTAAATTATTCTCATAAACATTTAACTGAAAAACAAGTGTAAACCAAAAATACAGTAAAAGGCTTAAGTTCTAGTCTACCTTACTTTAAAAAAAAAAACATCGTCTGCTCTGGTGATAGAACGCGCCAAGAAAAATGGCTGAACGATTTCAGTCTGAGCGGAAGTAGAGAAACAGGAAGGATGGAAAATCGAAGGGAGATCAGTCGTGCGGAAGAAGGGGGAGTAATCCAGGAAGGGTAGTTTTAAAAATTAACGAATTGGGAGAGAGTGTGGGTGAGTGAGTGAGTGAGAGAGAGAGAGAGAGAGAGAGAGAGAGAGTATGAGAGAGAGAGAGAGAAGGGGGAGATCGCATTTACTCAGAAAATATTCATATTGTGCGCATACACTCCCAGGCCCATTCCCTCACAAGCACAAGCAAATTGACACAGACACATTGACACATCAAACATTGACTCAGACAAATGAACATCAGGCACATTGACACAGCTAACAGCTTTTATTCTCTATTTCTTACTCCATGTGTCGTTGTTTATCCACTGAAACATTCACTCTGACTTTTAGGTTCAGTTTCTGTCAGCATGCCGACTTCGTTGTTTAACCTCCGGAAAACCAATTAACCCTTGAACATCTATGATTTATTTTATTTTATTGTTATGTTTCGGGGGGGGGGGTTGTTTGTGGAAGCTTGAAATATAAAGACAGGACAATACAAGAGGAACGTTTCGGCCAAGAGCCTTCGTCGATAGACAGGACAAATGAAGTAGCAACAAAAAATTGAAAACATTTTTTTTTTTTTAAATAAACATAAGGTCAGCCATAATGTTAATGAATTCAATGCCATTAATCAGGGAGGGGGGGGGGGGGGCGAAAATTTAAGTTTTTAAAAGTTTTTTATCGCTTTTTTTTGCTTTTTTTNGTTGCCTTTTTTTGTCCCGTCTTTATATTTCAAGCTTCCACGCAACTTGTTCTACAATTTCCTTCCAGAGACGTAGCGAAGAGGGGGGGGGGTTCATACGTCCCCGGGGGCCAAGGTAAAGGGGCGCCAAAAATTGAGGCTCACCACGTCACATTATAATAAGTAAACAGTAAGATAGCCTCAGCAGACGTGTCATCTGATAGCGTCATCAGACGTGTCATCTGATAGCCTCAGCAGACGTGTCATCTGATAGCCTCAGCAGACGTGTCATCTGATAGCCTCACCAGACGTGTCATCTGATGGCCTCACCAGGCGTGTCATCTAATAGCCTCACCAGACGTGTCATCTGATAGCCTCACCAGACGTGTCATCTGATGGCCTCACCAGGCGTGTCATCTGATAGCCTACTTATTTTGTCGCGTTTGCTCTTCTTAGCGTTGAAAGAAAATACATTGGGGAAAAAAAACAGATTTTGATTGCGTTATCGACCGGTTTGCGACTGTGAAATCAAGAAAAATAAATCTTTTTGTGTCTGAGTGGGTCGTGTACTATCATTTCTATAAATTTGCTTCTTTAAATACAATGTTTTATTAAAAATGAAATTGTGTTTTCTAATTCAATGTAATAGAAAAATGTGATTAAACGGGGGGAAAAGGGGGGGGGGGCGCCAATTTTGTAGTTCGTCCCCGGGCGTAAAATATCATAGCTACCCCTCTGTTTTCTTCACATAGTTTAAACTCAGTTCTTTCCTGTATTATTCCTTAAAAATTATACCATCGGCATGTTCTGATATTTTTTTATTTTTTTTTAAAATCTGGCCGTAAAGAACATTACAGCAGAAGATGCCTGGTTGGGCCTCACAATGTCGCTGTAGATAAAACTCAGTTCTTTAAGAACGAAGTCACGTGGTTTCCGAAAGTGTGCGTGTGTGAATACGAGAGGAGAAAATTGGGAAGCGGGGGGAGGAGAATAGGTTAAAAAGAGAGATAGACTGAGAGAAAGACAGAGATAATGAGATAGGGGGGGGGTCCTTCGCTGTCATCTCCATTAGTTTGACAATGTGCGTGTGTGAATACGAGAGGAGAAAATTGGGAAGCGGGGGGAGGAGAATAGGTTAAAAAGAGAGATAGACTGAGAGAAAGACAGAGATAATGAGTTAGGGGGGGGGTCCTTCACTGTCATTTCCATTAGTTTAAAAAATCTTCAAAAACATTTTTTTTTTAAAAGATGAGAATCTAATAGTGAGATAAGAGGGATGGGCCAATCAATAGTCGTTGACGTTGTCGGGGGGGGGGGATGGGGATGGGGGCGCGTCCCCGCTATTCGATTTATACAGCGCACAGAGGGGTGGGGAGGGGCAGCGGGACTGACTGCCCAAAAAAAAACTCTAAAGACGGTGGCACACTGTAAACATTCTGATGTCCCTCTGATGCATGGGTCGTGGCGTTACCAAGAGGCACTTTTAGGGATGACCGCTGAACCCCTTTCACTCTCCATAAATTAACAGGCTTCAATGCCATGGCCGTCTTGAGCACTTCCGGTTCATCGGAGATTTATTACAGCACCCGTGCGAAGTTAAAGGGCGTGAAGACAGAATAAGGTCGTTGTCAAGTGGCCTTGAAAAAAAGAGATTTATTCCACCATTCGGGGCAAGTTGAAGGACGTGAAGACACACTACGGTCGTTGTCAATTGGCCCACAATAAAGAGACTTATTTAAGGTGGTTGTTAAATGGTCCACAATAAGGCCTTTGTTAAGTGGCCCACAATAAAGATCGTTGTCAATGGCCGACAATAAAGAGATTTATTCCACCACTCGTGAAGAGTTGAAGGACGTGAAGACACAATAAGGTCGTTGTCAAGTGGCCTGCAGTAAAGAGACTTCACTCTTGCCATCGATGATGTTTTCGATACCTCTGAAGGTTTCTGACATCTGTGTAATGTTAGAGGTTTCAATGAATACTTTTGGAAAATATTTAGTCTTATAACCACCGTGTATTAATAATGAGTGGTGGCATTTTCGGCCAAATGCAGTGTTGTTGTTTTTGTTTGTGGGAAAAAAAGGGGGCGGGAGTGGGAAAATCTTACCCTGCGTCGGGTGGCACTAATCCTAGTTACGCCACTGAACACATTTTCTCGTTTTTTTTTTTTTTTTTTTTTTTTTTTTAATAATCCTTTTAATTTTTTTTAAAAAAAATAAAGTGCATTTGTTGCAATTTGTAAGGGGAGAGAAGAGCTGGAGCGATGTCTTACTCATTAGTCTTTGTTGTTTGAAGTTATAATAGCCAGAATGATCAGTACATTGAGATATATAGAAGAAGAAGAAGTAACGTTTTTATAGCATTCAATCAGTTATAGTGAAGATCTAAACATCACGGGGATGTATAAAACTAACATCATCTTGGGTGTCGTATAAATCTAACATCATCTTTGGTGATGTATAAATCTAACATCATCTATTTACAAATCTTTTCTTCATTTCAGAAATAAAATGCATCCAATGATCTTAATCAACATTAATTTTTGGTCGACAGTTTTCGATCACATCAGATCTATTTCTGGTGCTGTCAAATCTCATTCTTGAACATTGGATGTGTATGGTGAGCGAGGCGTGGGGGGGGGGGTGGAGGGGGGGTGGGGGTAGAAGGAACTTTGTGACACTAAAAGGGAACCAATTACTGTAGGCCAATGTTCACTTCATTTTTTCCTCGAATCTCTTTGAGCAAATATTTGGTGCTGTGCAAAGATTACTCCCTCCCCTACCCCCAAATGTACATGTGTGCACTGTGCACGTGTACACGGAAAGCAGACAAGGTGCAAGTTATACATTTTTAAAATTATTTATTTGTTTACAAAACAAATACTAGAAGCTTTTAATACTGATAAGGATACTCTATGGTTGTTATACTCTTGTTAAAGACAGTAATGTAACGAACATATGCAGATCAGCATACAACGAAATTAGAAAAATCAGCACCATTAGACACCTCCTCTCCTTTGATGCCACAAAAACTCTCGTCTCTTCACTCATTCTTTCAAAATTTGACTACTGTAACACTCTTCTCGCAGGCATTCCTCGACACCACACCACAGAACTCAGCATGCAGAGTTATTTTTAAAGCAAAGAAACACGACCTCATTCAACCACACATGCAGCAACTCCACTGGCTTCCAATGTCCACTCGCATCAAGTACAAGTCTGCCAATACATGATTCAACTCTTTCACTGACCCTCACTTTCCTGTCTATCTCTCTGAACTGTTGCTTCCTTACATCCCCACAAGACAACTACGCTCTTCAAATGACAATAGAGCCCTCTCAATCCCAAAAACCAAAACTAAGACCATCGGTGAACGCTCCTTCTACTTCCATGCGCCCACGTTCTGGAACCAGCTCCCCTTCCACATCTGTCATTGTGAAACCTCGTCCACTTTCAAAAAGTCCCTTAAAACCCATCTGTTTAGGTCCGCCTATGACCAGTGATGCACCCTCCTTGCCCTGCCTCATATTCTGTCTCGGGTTGATCCTGTATTTAAGTATATGCCAAAACGTGCCAAGTGTAGTTGTTTTTATAGCCATTTTTTAATGTTTTAGCTGCTGTTTTTATAGTAATTTTTCACATTGTAGTTACTATTCTAGTGTCTCTGGTTTTTCATTTTTATTTGCTTTAGCAGTTTAAATAGTTTACATATATTTTAATAATTGTAAAGCGCTTAGAGCCGTAAGGTAAGCGCTATACAAAAATGCCTAAATAATAATAATAATGCTATTTTTATCGTACTGTTGTGCTCGCTGTCGTTTTTACTTCGTACGGCCCTACTTTTTTCAGCTGTGCGTATTGTCTGTGCGCATTGTGCGTGCGCATTGTGCGTGCGCATAGTGTGTGCGCATTGTGTGCGCGCGAACCCGCGCACAGCTTTCATAGACCATTGCTGTAGACCTATATTTTAAGCAGCTGGTGTCTATTTCTTTAAACACGTCTTGTTTGGCGTCAGTGTCCCTGTCTAAAATGATGACCTCTTCTGTCGACAGATAGAACAGCTTGCCCTTATATGGCTAGAGCGTCAGAAGATGGGCGGGTCCTACAGCAGCCATCGCGCGCAGACGGAGAAGCACGTGGTCGTCTGCATGACGACACTGCAGGCGGATTCCGTCATGGATTTCCTCAACGAGTTCTACGCCCACGCCAAACTTCAGGTAAATGATTTCAAATGACCACACGGATCTTTGGTGCAATGTTCAGTAGCTAGGCCGGGTTAAGGTGGGTAGAGATGCAATCCCAAAATCAGGATTTGCCAAGGACGAAATTAAGGCCTTAGCGGGACTTGGCACAGCCACCACTTACTGGGACAAGCCTGGGCTTGTATACGAAAGGCACTTAAACCCCTTGGGGAGGGGGGAGCGGCACTTTGTCTACGCTCCCACACCAGTGCATAACAGGTTGCCTGCCTTTCCTGTGTCCGTGATTTCTGTTTTTGTGTATCTGCTGTCCGTTTACTCTCTGAAGAGAGTGTCCCAATAATGAGTCTGTCTCGGCGGCATGTGCTTTGGTAGTTATGTTGTTGATATCGTCATCTGTTGTTGCTGTCCGTGAGAGGTGCTGCCCAAATGTGTCAACAAAAGCATTGTGCAATCAGAAAAAAAAAATATTTACGACAATCGCAAGTTTTGGCACTCCACGCCAAACACTGTTAAGGCCGCAGTTGCCACCTTAGCCAACTTCTCAGAAGTCAGGTCAAGGACTTAACTTCAAGTAAAAGAAATTCTTTTGGTACAAAAAACATGGTTAAGACTGAAAGTTCATCACCGGCAATACCGGAAATGCCGGCAAGATTTCAAACACAAAAGAACATCTCAAGCAATTAGTTGATGACAAGCACTTAGCAGGGGCGTCATTTCATCATCTTCAGCCATGAGCGTTAAAACTATGTCCTTGCCCTGCTGGTTTATGGGCCGTCCATAAAGTACGTCACTCAATTTTTGGAAAAAATTTTACCCCCTCCTCCCCTGTCACAAATCTCAATCACCACCCCCCCTGCTGGCCCACGTAAAGAACATCACAACTTCGAAGTAAAAAAAAATTGTTTAAAAATTAACAATAGAAAGTTTTAAGATCATTGTTATCAATATAAATCATAAATACAAAATAAATCATGTATCATTAATGACGTCATGGCACCAATTCTCTGCATTAGCCTTGTCGAGTATGAGCGTTCATTAGGAATTGTTGCGACTCAATAGTATGTTCATTAGTTGTTGAACGTGTTTCCCGCGCTTGACTATTATAGTTAGTGAACGCTCTTCCCGCCATTGTATTTATGACGTATTTTTATGCTGAGTCGTGACGTATTGTCTATGCAGTATTGTGACGTATGTTTTAGCCGTGCGGCAGTCTTGAGTGGAACCTTGGAGTGATAGGATGTTTATTATATTTACTTAGATATTAAAGTTATAGTTATTATGAACAGGAGTTGAGTTTGTTAATTGATAGTTAGAATAGTACGACGCTTCAACGTATGGAAGAACTGACGAATGTAATCAATCCAAGAAGACGTGTAGGAGTTGACATGGGGGCTTCTCATCCGGGATTGGTGAACCTCGTTATTTTCATACTTGAGGTAAAGTACAAGAACATTCTTATTATTCAACTTTAGTGAAGTTACAACCATCGTCGCATGTTCCCGTATTTCAATGTCGGAGC